TGTCGAATTTTTCACGACTGCTAAATGCGACCACCCGAATCACCTTTTAGGAGCTACAAGTCAAAGGGAATTTGTTCGATTGCTCTCAAATTTTGACAGTAGCTAGTTTTACATATAAACAACAAAAACGTGTCTCCGAATTTTTTATTTCTAAACACTTTTTTTTCAAGATCGATTTTTGTACGATCACTCCAAATTTTTTCAATCCTATTTCAAAAATGTTTTGTAACTTTTCACTGAAATTGATTTGGCAAATCGCAGACACGTTTTTTTAGCTCTTTGGCCCCGGAAACGGAGAACACATTAAATAGGCGAAAAACAAAATTCGCTTCGACCTGTAACATTCAAAAGGTGATTCGGGCGCTCGCATTTAGAAGTCATGAAAAATTCTGCAATTCATTTTTTTTCAAAATTTTTGGTATAGTTTGATAGCCAGTCCTATAAGCTTTAACTTGATATGGGGTTTAGATATCTACAGTTTAAATTGGACGCGCTACATCGCTTGCACGCGAGACACCCCTGAAGGTGCACGGTAACCTTGAGTGGTGTTCATCACTGGGAAGATCACTCTCCTATTCAGTTTTAGAATTCATACAACAAAAAACATATATATGGAAAATTACAGATTGGATCGGCTTTTAAGAAAATAAACTGCACTGATATTTCGTTGATTTATATTTTGAAATACAGCTTTGCACCATTATCATCTTTTTCCCTTGGGATCCGGTCTTCATTTGTCGAAGGGTCTGAATAGTTTGGTTATGTCACAGTAGAATTTACTTTGATCCTCCCCCAAGGCTCTGTAGTACTCTAACGACCCCTTCTCCCCCACCCTGAATACGGGTGATTTTTCCATAGGACTCTTTTATGTTCTGTTGGCGACAACTGATCTCCCCTCCATTCCTTCTAAAAATCATGTGATCCTCCAAAATCACCCGACACCACATGAGTTGTTCACGCACCTAAATAATTATCCGTTGAAATAAAGTCGCGGAAAGTTGCGAGAAGAGAAGAACGTCATGACTTAGCACTCTGACAAAGGGTTGCTTTTCATTTTCATCAAAGTATGAGGGCTGGGATGGTTGATCTATCCTGTTCCCTTCCCCTCCCCGCGGAGTGTGTATTTAATTGCGGTAGTATGGGCTTTAATCAATCAGCTAACTATTACAGTTTTACACAGCAACGAACATGGCGACCGAGTGCACTACATCGTGGGGGAGGGGGGGTAGGAGCGCGGGCTCATAACGTTGGTCAGCCAAACCAACACGTAGGACATGCGCAAGGGAGTGAATTTTGGGCGCCTGCGCACCATTTTACCGCGCAAAATTTCGAAGGTAAACGAAAGAAACAACAGCTGTCTTGCAAATAGACATAAGAAAATTGAAATGTTCATAAGAATCCGTAAACAAACAAAAGCGGCGAAAATGAAATCTCGAGACGCCTCAAACACAAAGCGTATTCAAGTACAGGTGTTCTGTTGATTTACCATTCTGTCTCGAGCTTTTAATTATCAAAAAAGTTACACGCTTGTAAAACATCGTGGCTTACTCGCTTGTGTTGTTGCTTGTAAGTCGTGTGAGATCTTCGTTTTTACAGCCTGAAAACAGGCTAGTGATAACAACGTTCGCACATGTGCAGACGTTTGAACGCTGTGTTCCCAAACTTAACTACTCTAGATCCCTTCACTGAAGCAAATGATCGTAATGGTCAAGCCAGTTCTAGACGAGACGCATGTCTTGATTTCTCATCCCCTTCATTAATTTCAACCTTCTGCCTGTATGGGTAATATCGAATCGGCAGCGTAATTACAGAAAGGTAGCTCTAAGAAAGGAATTCAGAGAGAGGTGTTGACTATGCTTTCAACGTAGATACCGATTTTACGCTACTTAAAAATCTTAAAGATGAGCTGAGCTGCTAGGAGGCAAGGCTCAACTTGTTCGCTCTAACAATTGACCGGACCTGATGCCAAGCGAAAATGGTCTAATTATAGCAAATTCAGAGGAAAGAAATCATAGAACGGTGCGTGTTGATCAAAATACGATTAAGCTGACCAAAGGTTGATGGAAATCTCTTATTTCGTGGTATAGCTTAGCAGAGGTTTTATGTAGCATTTTGTTTCCTTCAGTTTTGCTTCACACCAGAACAACAAGGCTTCGAGATGTAGGTAAGACAGATTCTCCAAAGTTCAATTAGAAGCAATAAATCATTCTTTTAGCCCATGTTTCTGAACATCACCGCCATAAGCTGTTGCTTCAAAATTCAGACACTGGGTCAATCATAAAATTTGTTTAAAATAGAAAACTAGAACTAGAATTAACTATTGAATTTTCCCCTTTTCTGCTTCCTCCTTCGAGAAAATGCACAGAAGTCCGTCTCAATGAATAAAATCATTTAATACATATATAATAGCAAAATAAGACAGCTTGTAGAAATGTATAGTGAATAAACGTTGCTTTCAAGTCAATGATTTCAAAGCAATTTTCGCGGAAGAAATATAAATAGGAACCTTAAGCAATCCACGAAGACGACGGCGACGAGGAGGTGGCAAAGGAAAAGATGTAATGAGCAGAACGATGACAGATCACCAGAATTTGCGTGGTCGGATAACGGAAACCCCGACCGCAAATTACTTAAGTTTCTATTTGGAACTCACTTCTGCTCACATTCAATTCCGAAATCCGAACTTAAGATATAAATTTAGTTTTTAATTGATGTCTTCTTCAGTGTTGCCGTTCCGACAGCTTAGGATCGTAATAGCTCCTGACACACTGACATCTAAGACTATGCGAGAATTATTGAATTTTAACCATGAAGTTTACGTTATGGCTTATTAATTCCAATTCAACTTTTATTTTTTTTTTACTATAGCTATATTATAATTTGTTGACCAATGAACCGTGGATCTTTTAAGAGAGTGGAAACATTATTTCATTTAAAGTGAAACTAAGGAAATATTCCATCTCTTCAGAGTTGGTTATTTGACGTTCGAAAGTGTTTAAATAGTAAATGAACACTCGGTAACAAACTGGCCCTGGAGATCTCGAGATCTTCGAGATCTGAGCGGAATTTAAATTCATGCCACGAGGTGAATCTTGCTTTAAAACATCCATGGCGCAAATTATGTGAACAAGGAAATATAATTATTTTATAGTAGTTAATGTCAGTAATATTTCATGAACGCACGCCATCTTGACAATTTGTCAAAAATAAGTGTTATATAGTACGTCCGTCTCTATAAAATGAAGGATTTAGTAATACAACAGTCTGCCTTATTTTATTGCATTGGTAAGCGAATAATACACCGATTATTTTTCACTCAATTGCCGTTTTGCCTAATAGATGTACACACGTTCGGAGATTACGCCCGTGGGAAGCCTTGACGCTCAGAAATGGACGCCAGTGGGGGATCGTTATTAAATTGAGCGATCTAGGAGTACAAACGCCCCGCTTTCCTCTGAGGAACTTAATTTTCGGTTCGAGTTCTATAGCAACAGGAAAGAGAGATAGCGGTGTTTCCGTTTTAACTCGCGCGTAGAATCCTCGGAAGAGGTCAAATTGGCAAATAGTTTGTTACGGCTGGCTTGTTTTTAAATGCAAAACTGTTTTGGAGTTACTGCCATTGGTAAGTATCACGACATTGAGTACTTAGAGCCGTTTCAGCGAAGTAACTGTGGTGACGGAAACTGAATTAAGCACAACTCATAAAAGTTCGGATTCCGTTTGAACAATTAAAAGATCTAAAACGTTGTAAGTCATGGGAGCTATGATGAATAACTGATCATCAATCTAATAAGAAAGTGTTATGACAGTTTTCAAACGTCCTTATTCTAGCTGTAATATTCTTTTATTTTCATAACGCTTTTCCCTTTATTTGCGGTGAATAAATGTTGATTTTACGAAGGCCTTGTGAACGCGGAACTATAATGTCCATTTTTATATAGATTTTAATAAGAATTCGTATATGATTCTATCTTGACCCAGCATCTTTGTGACAGAGAACAGCTGTTGGCAGGAAGAAGTAGCTTTTATTATCACGCACTCATTCATAAGCCTTCATTATAAAAAACAAATACGGAGCTAAGAGGCCCAGTTGGCTGCATTTGTGATTGGAAATAAAAGCTGATAACATAGCACAAAAGTGCATAGAACCACTGATCAGTTCATCTACGCACGTTCGCCTTTACAGAAGGGAAAGAATGGATTGGCGAAGAGTTTTGCTTTGGGTAGGGATCTGCGTAATTATAAGTACTTGCCTTGAAGAAGGAGTGGAAGCTTTTCATCAGAGAACTGGAAGAAGGAGATCAAGTGGAAAGAGGAATTTATGGGTAGAGAGGAATGAAATCCATCCCTTAGACAACCTAAAGCGAAGAGAAGAAATACTGAAGGTAACATCTGATTAAAAATAAAAGAATATCTTTGAAAAATTCATAGCTACCAAAGTATTTTCAAAGCCTCAAAAAGCACCGAAATGTGTGGTAATTGAAATTATTTTCTCTTCTAAAATCCACTCGGCGCCGGTAGGCGACCGTTTTTAAATGTGGACGCGTTTCCTTACATTAAAAAAGTAGGCAAAGAGGAACTTTCTATCCTGAGACGTACAAATAGACTGAAACCGAAAAATACTGGAAGTTTTCATATCTCTGGCGAAAAATTTAGAACAGTTCTTAAATATTTCCAAATACAATGAAAAATTTCAGACTTAATGTCTTTACCAGAGGGAAAACAATTAAAGGGAGGAGAACATTACTTTGAACAGGTTACCATTATGTTTCTTCATAATTATGATTTATGATGACTGTTAGTTTTTTTGTTTCTTTTGTTTTTTGTAATTTATGGATAGATATATGAGACAGGCATTGCGGAGGACGATGCACCGTTAGTAGAAGAAAGCCGGTCACAAGGACAGTTTTAACCAGAAGAACACAGAAACATCATCTAAGTTAACTCTTAACGTACTCGCGATCACGATAGATACCATCAATATTGCCGTATAGTGTGACCTATACTAGTATTCACGGGTAAACATAACTTAAAAAAGAAAAATAATAAAAAATGTTGAAGCCTATTTCTCGGTTGTTTTTGGTTTTTGTTTTTTGTTTTTTTGTTTTTTTTCATTATCTTACTATCATGGTTATAATTTTTTACTTTTTGTTCCCTTTTTTACGTTCAATATTTCATAAAACGATGCTTTATCATAAAACTAGAGGCGCGTCAGAAGCCGTGTTTAACTTACATAAAGAGGCCGACGAGGAAAAAATTATCCCGGACAGACAAGCTGAGTGCAGAAAAGGTAAAATAAAAAATAAGAATTGAAAAACAACCTTCCTTTTGTACATTTTTTGAGTTCTCAACTTTCTATCGACCCGAGAAAAAAAACTGAGCTAATTTCAAGAAAGTAAGCAGGTAAGAAAAAATTTACTCTGAGGAAGATGAAAATGATCCGGCGAAATTTCGACTTGTCTACTTTCATCAGACAGGTGTTTAAAACAGCCATCACGAGTAACTCCCCTCTCTTCGCATAGCATCTCATGTTTCCAGAACAGTTTTTCCATTTTAAATTTGTTGTTGATAAAAGGAAACTAAAGATCATAACTCGAGAATTTATATTGCTTGCATATTGTTCAAGTCTACCACGATGTGGGAACAAAATATGTTCCAGTCTTTAACTCGATGCCATTAACAGAAACAACAGAAGGATGACGTACACAGGCGCTAAAAATAATTCTCAGATGTGTTAAGTGTTGGGGCACTATGTTAATGACGATATTTTCCGACAATTTTTTATTTCTTTTGCTTTTGTTCAGTCATAAATAGCTCTTCAAAGAGTTAGGTAAAGAAATGGCCAATGTAAGGTGTGCTCATCTTGAAACATTATTCTTTTCAGTATGTTCACCTACGGTTCATGTTTTTCTTCCAACATCTTTGTTTCCGCTTTGCTTGATATTCGCATCTTAGGAGTTTGTCTCAGTCAGACGTACAAACTCTCACAGCTGCGTTTCAATTAAAGAAAACATCCTAACTTGACAGCAACTGATCCGTGGCGCTCCTGTTGCAACAACGGAAGACCAATTTTAAAGAAAAAAGTTTGTAAAGTAAATAGCTAATGAGTTAAAAAAAAAGAGAGATAATTTAAGGAAACCATTTAACGATCAATTTTCTTCGTTCTTAAAAAAAGGAACTGAAAATAAAGAGGAATTTGGCTGGAAAATTCAATCGAATGCTAAGTACAAAGTGCATGTTAACGACAACTTTGGTGTCAGGTATATTGGCGACGATATAATTTCGTCTTCATGCGCACAGCCATGCCTAATAATAACACAAAAATTACAAAAGGTGTAATATTTCAAACTGTAATGCTTCTACTGTAAACTCCCGCCAACTCGAACTCGAACAAAAACTCATTTTCCTCGGATTTCACCCCACATTTTTAGTCATTGGCTAGTAGCTAACCAGATATCGGTAAACTCGAACTCCCTGTTAACTCGAACTAATGTTACTTTCCCTTGGCTCAAATTTACCATGATGACTCGAACTTTATGTAAAAGCGTCGGTCCATAAACGTCAAAGTGTCAGAATATCGCTCATTGACATGTCCCAATCTTTAATCGCAATATTTATGAAGAAGTATTACATATATCTTATTAGACGTTTTTTTGTGTAGTATCGCTGAGTATTTTTACGAGTTGTGCCGTATTTTGACGAGCCCGTAGGACGAGTCAAAATGCAAATAACGAGTAAAAATACTCAGCGATACTACACAACAAAACGTCCAATAAGTTATTTAGGCCCTGTTTACAAGCAGGTAGGGTAACCCTAGTGCTAGGGTTACCATGGCAGGAGGGTTACCCTAACGCTCCTACATTTCTTCCTTTTTTCATCGACGTGTTTACAAGGTAGCTAGGGTTACCCTAGCTGCCTTGTAAACGCTCTGCTGGGGATAACTCGCCTACCCGGGACAACTTTTTACTTGTTTCCAGACCCTTTGAACATTGATAACAATGCGTGCGGTTACCAAGCATAGGTAAGTTGTCCGGGGTGTTGGGGTAACCCTTCCTGTGAAATTTTGCTTGTAAACCCGGGCTATCTTTGACCCGCCTGCTAGGGTAACCCTAGCACAAGGGTTACCCTCCTTGCTTGTAAACAGGGCCTTATTATCCAACACGCCAAACTGTTATTTCAGTGCGGGCGAATTTCGCGGATGTTTATTTACGAGGAGTGCGTGACAGAAGTATGCGAAGCGGAACGGAATCGGCGCGTTGTGTTGCTACTTTCTTCATTAAATGAAGAAATTTTCTGGTCGTCAAGCTGTTTTTCTTTCTTCGATTCATCTAATAAACTTTGATCTATATTTGCCAGCCATTCTGACTCTTCGTCGTCGGAAATATGATTCAAATTGTCCGCCACTTTTTCTTTTCGTAACTATAATTCAATTCTTCGCTTGCACGATGCGAGAAAACCTGTTTAACCGGTACTCTACAATAGACGAGTACAAATACCGCGTGATATTTGTACTCGTCTATGGCGTTATTTGTACTTATCTAAGTGTAGTTGGATAATAAATTTGTCAATATTTTCAGACTAAACGTTCTTACAAGAAAAGTTCCCATGTATAAAATAACCTGAATGTACGAGAATGAATGTCGATCATGCAAGAATCGTAAAAACATAATTCCTTACAAATTATTAACAGGATAATTGAAATTCAACAACGAATCCAATTATTTTTCGTTTTCCTTAGGAGTCTGAATTAGCGGGGTTCTACTATGTGGCTTTGAGCCGAACAGCAGGAGTCACATTTTACCCCATACTGGTGTGAATCAAATTCTTAGAAATTCCCTTATCCCTTCGACACCAAATTGGTATCAATGAGTCCGGTTAGCCCTGCAGGGGAGTTGTCTAAAATTGTTACTTTTGTTTAATTCGACTTTTGTTTACACTATTAGTGCTGTTGTTGATAGAAGACTGTGTTTTATTTCCGCGTCATCTGGGCAAACAGCCCAAACTGGATCATAAATTCAGATATCGACAACTACGTCATAGTAAAATTTTGGCTACTGAGCTTGAATATAAGACTGTTTTTTCTCAACTTGATAAGTTTTATCAGCTCTATATCATTGTCTTAAGAATAGTGAAATTTTTAACGTATGGGTCAGAGAAAGGACTAAGATAGATCATATCAATTTCAACTGGCCCTTTTTATTTCTTCTTTAGTGCAGGTTAACAAATTTGTTTATTTTACATCAGCATTTGTTCTATCTTGATGGTATAAAGTTAGATGGGTGTATAGTTCCATAGCAGTCTTACTTTGGTATAAGAGATCCACTTCCTCACGCTAAGACATTATCCTCTAGGTTCGAATCCCTGGGGGATTCTTTCGGTAGCCTCCTTAACATCCTTGTTCTGATCCACTTTTTGAACCGTTAAACGCTATAAAATCGAAAAGGAAAGAAAGGAAATAACTGAAAGATTAAAAACAGAGAAACATTGTAATCTTATAATGAAATAATGACAAATGTGTTCCGTATTTATCTTTGATTTCATCCAAATTTCCTAATTGAAGTGGGAAAAAATGACGGCAATGAGAACGAAAGGAAACAATATTTAAGAGGCAGATATACAGTTTTGGGCGAGAATTTTCCTAAGTTGCTTTTTGTTCGTAGCAGCCTTCTGCGAAATCACAAAATTTTGCTTATTTCTAAGATCGAAAATCCTAATTGTTTTTGCTTTCATGTTTTCTTTGAAATTAAATACCACCTTTTCCCATCCAGCTCAGAAGCGATATGTGGCTAAATATGATCTATGCACTTAGTCCTCTCAGGATCCAAGATGTTCGTAAGGCAGGGCTCAATGCTCTTTTTCAACTAACTACTTTCTAGGATCCACTGTTTTAAAGACTCTTCTTGTGGCAAAAGAACGAAAGGTTCATTCGTTCGATGTCTTGAGCACCTTATTCATTCATACCACCAATCAGAATGGACGTACCGCGCTGAACAATTTCCTTGTAATATTTCTGCCAAGTTTCTCTTAAGGGCATAAAAGTTTAATTACAATCCATTCCCCACTGTTATTCATATCTCAGTTTACTTCTAGAAAGACCTCTGGCGGCTTTAAGCCAATAGGAGATCGAGTTCCTTCCATTTTTTAAAGGAAGAAATGTTCCAATGAGAAGACTTGATGCTTTTTCGCCTTCTAAATTCTTAATTACGACTAAAAGAAACACGCGTGTCCATTATTACTACGCATCCTTACTACGCAATCACTCAAAATGCGCAGGCCACGTTAGCATTGAGTACACGCTCCTAGTAAGAACTATGTACCGATAGTTGAAATATATATAGAACTCATTACCAGTGTGAACACTTGCCGGCGAACATTATTGTTCTTGGTAACGCTGATCCACTTTTTGAACCATTATACGCTATAAAATCGAAAAGTGAACGAGGCTAGTTTCATGAATTTCGCATTTGTGGTTGACATGCGATGGAAATGTCGTATGAATACTGGTACATGATTAAACTACTTATTCTGCCTGAATATATGACAAATAAAAAAGATTCTGCAGAGTAAGCCAGGAGATTGAGTGAATTAACACGGGTAGCACGTCACTGACTTGACAAACTTCGATCATATAACCACTTTCGGTGGAAGTGCATGTTTTCTCGAAAGCCACGTAACTTTGAATTCTTGCCCATTAAAACTTCCGTTTTGCCTCAGGCTATAGAATGTTTAGGCAACCGTGAAATTTCCTTAAAGTGCTAATTAAAACTTGGAAAGCAGGAAAATTATGTTTCATCTTAGTACGCCAAATAGTAAACTCTCTCTTTCTTCTACTGTCGTGAAACCAAAATTAGTCCAAAGCACATATCAAGTTGGTCGGGATTTTGTGAGAGAGGCCAATTATTGGAGGTTTCCTTTTCAGATACATCACTTAATTGGTTTACTTTAAAACACCGATACACGTTTGTCTACGATTCATGTTGGCAGGAAATAACACGAGGGCGTTATTTCTACATATAACGACAAATTATTGCCAAGACAGCTGGGCATGCATCAATCCTATCTTTT